AACAAATGTTTGAAGAGGGTTTGAGATCTCTACAGCATTGTGGTTAACATAAATGCTTCAGCAAATCTTTTTTCTTCGTGTGTAGAAAACTCTTGGCTTATGTGTCGATCTGCACTTCCTTTTTTTTTTTTTATTTTGGCTGCAGCCAGACACACTAAATAGTGATTAAACAAAAAATTAAAATTCTGTTTTTGTGCATTTGGCGTTTGAACGCTGATCAATTGCTTTGGCAGCGTGTTAAGTAACAGTGTGGTAGACAACAGAAGTGGCTTATTTACAGCAATCTGTCTAAATCCATTTTCAATGTATTGCTTAATATGCCTTTCTACTTTAGTTCATTTTCAGTTTTTAAAAAATGAAGGCTGGAAACAGGCAGGAGAATGGTTTAAGATATTGCTGGAGAAGTAATCACTCCTTAGTGGTAAACAACTTTCAGTTCTTAAGGGAAAGAAAATGTGCTTGAGCTGAAATAGAACTTTTGGGCTTGTTGGAGGAGTTCCTGGATGGAATTCAATGGTACATTTATATAGCCTGAGTAGGTGATCATAATGAAACGTTCACGCTTTAAAATCTGATTTTTACATGTTGTTTACAATTGACCATTTAAAAAAACAGCAATGTTTTTGCAAAATGGGAAGCTAACACAGAGCAGAAGTGAAAATTGCTGACCTCTTTTATAGGGATAGAAATCCACATCCATAATGTGCATTTACCCTAACCATGCAGAATTGACAGCTCCAATGTTCAAACAGTGGTCACTGCATTCCACAGATAAAATGCACATAAAGGGGGATGTGGTGGAGGGTTTGGACAAAAATGTTCTACCTCCTGCTATGCAGTTAGAATTAATGAGAAAATTAGGATGAGAGTGTAAATTGAGATGAAATACAGCATTACATGTATGACATAACTCCCCGTAAATGAGATGTTTGTTTAAGAGTTAAAGAAAAAATCAGTCCTAGGAAACTTGCTGTGTTTTGCAGATTGCTCTGATATCACAGTCTAGAGCATTTGTTGAAGGAGTATCATCAAGTTATGTGATTTGCATAATTGAGTCAAATCCCATACAGCATCCCTGAAGGAAACCACTAAAAAAAGCAACATTCTGGTCTCTCTGTATGCTGTGTCTGGATCTCTAGAGCCTCAGACATCTTTTACAAAGAGGGGGCTGGAGGGGTAAAGCAAGAAAGAAGGAAAAGATCTTCCAAAATCTGCCCATTTTCCCAGTGAGAGGCGCTTTGAGGACACACAAAGTGTGCACACCCTTCCTGTGCCCGTGGTGGCACCGTGCCTGCAGCCTTACACACAGCTCTGCTGAGAGTGATGGCATCAGATAATGCAGTCAGTCTGGGAGGGGCAAGGCAAATGTTTTATAGCTCACACTGACTGTTTTTGGTGGTCTGCTCAAATTAAGTTGGTGTTGAAAGTGGGGTTTTTAATCAGAAATACAATGCTGATCTGGCTGCTGCAGCTGCACCTTCCCTCCAGGGCTGTGTGCATGGTGAGGGCTGGCAAGGTCACTGAGGCAGAGACACTGATGTTCCTTTTCTAGCACTGAAAGTCACTTCAAAATGAATGTTTAGACACTGTTGACAGAACTTGTCAGTGACTCACAGCAGACTTTTCAGTTATGCTGTTTTAACAGCGACCTGCAAAACCAGTGTAAGCATTGGGTGTTTGCTTGCAAGGGATACAGTAAGAAATATTCTGACCTCTTAACATTTACCCAGGCTGAATTAAATGTAATGGAGGACTCCAGTGTTGGATGAACTAAGGTAACTTCTCTGCCAAAGACCAAAAAAAGCTCCAGAATGCAGCATGTCTGCCATGACTTGGAACTGTGTCTACCCTTCAGGATTCTAGAAGCCACTTGGAGGTTTGTGTACATGCAGCAAGAGGTTCAGGTTGTGCTTGTCCTGTGTGGATAGGACAGTTTGGGGTGAGCTGTACAGGGCAGAAGCACCACAAGCAGTGCAGGCAGAGGAGCTGGGAATGACTCACCCTGCACAGTCCTCATTTCATTCTGTCAGTGCCAACGTGAAGAAGTGTTGATCCTTGGAAGTCTCCAGACTGAGAGCAGTACAGAGCCTGTTCCCAGCCCTTCAGGATCAATAACTCTCACTCTGGGCACCTCTGCAGTCCCACACTGCAGTTCAGAGAGGTCTGGATAACTGATGCATGTTCTTCATCGTTTTCCCTCTTGCTTCATTTAAAGTTTACGAATTACTGACATGTGTGGCCCTGACAGGGTTAGCTTAACCCAGCTCACAGATGCTTTTGTGTGTAAATTTATCTGGGACTGAGAGAAATCCATCTATGTGCTTGGCTTTCTACTGTCTGTGTGTCTGGTTGGTGCAGTGGGTAATACAGTGGCAGTCTCTGTGATTTTTTTTTTCCTGTTTTTGTTTTCCTTTCTTTTCACAGCCCTGGAGGATGGTGTGCTGCTGCCTGCTTTCCTTCTATCTCAGGGTTTAAATTGCTTGCATTAGGTTGTTGCTTGCTCTGAGGATGTTTACATGCACATTGCTGACCCCTCTAAAGAATGGCTCAAAGCTGTGCAGAAAATTTCCTTCCCTGTACACATTATCCTGCACTGAGCACACAAACACAAGGACCAGTCCAGCCCAGAGCCTGGGGCTGCACCCACTGAGCAGGGATGGCTGTGAGTGCTTTCTAATGGCTTTTAGGCTGCTGCTGGCTTTTAGGGACAGCTGTGTGAGGGTGAGAGATGCCCCCTCCTGCCCCAGCCCAGTGCTGTGGCCTCCCTCAGAGGGGTCTGGAGATGTTGGTGTGAATCCTCTGGGGTCTATTTCCAACTTCCCTCCAGTCTCCTGGGAGCTGTGGTGGAGGACAGCTCCAGATCCATGCCCTCAGTGCATTTCAGTGTGTTTCAGAAGGAATGTGGCTGGAATGTGGCCTGGTTGTGTCCCAGCTGGCAGCTCACCCCCGCCGTGGGGTGGGGCTGAGAGCTGGCAGAGTTAGAAGTGAGAAAACTCATGGGTTGAGAGAAAGAGTTGAAAAAGTAAAGCAAAAAGCCCACAAAGCAAAACAAACCAGGGGATCCATTCCTTGCCACGGGCAGGCCGGTGTTCAGCATTCCCCAGGAAAGCAGGGAAGGTAAATGTCATCACTCCAAAAACCCCTGCTTCCTCTCCTTCCCCCAGCTTTATCTGTGTGACACCACATGGTTGGGATGTCCCTGGGGACAGCTGTCCTGCCTGTGTCCCCTCCCAGCTTCCCATGCTCTGCCACCTTCCTCTCTGAGGGCAAAGCCAAACAGCCTTGACTCTGGCTAAGCCCTGTCCAGCAGCAACAAAAACATCTCTGTTTAATCAACACTTTCCAGCACAAAGCCAAGTCACAGCCCCATACCAGCTCCTGTGGAGAAAATTAACTCTACCCTGGCCAAAACCAGCTCAGAGAGCAGTCCCCATGGGTGGGTGCCTGCAGCATGGACAGGTGTTTTCCATGGATGTTTTCAGAGGGAAGGGAGGTGCTTCTGCAATTCTAGTTTTAGTTGCCCCAGTCCCAGAAAGAGATGAGATTTAAGCCCCCTCAGCAAGGCTCTGTTAGACAGGTTGGATTTGCTGTTTGCTGGTGGGTCTGAGTTTTCCTCTTTTTCCCCAGGTTGCCTCAATTCCCTGCTCACTTTGTCAGGGTTTGGTTTGGGCTGCTGGGCTGCCACAAGCACAGTGGGTGTTGTGAGGTTCAGGGTTGCACTGTGTGTTCTTCCTTCTGGATCCAGTCCCTGGACACTCTGGCCATGCTCTTCTCTGCAGGGCTGGGAGGGGTTTCCACAGCAACTGCTTTTAAGGGGTTTTCACATGTTTAATCCAGCAAATGGCAGGAGGGACAGTGGCATTGTCAGTGATTCTCCTGGTGTGTGCATTCAGTCCAGAACACTACAAACAAGAGACAAAGAGACCTAAAATATAAAAATTTCAGACCTGCCAGTTGTTCCTGTGCCCATTATGATCCTTGTGCAGGAGGCTAGTGCTCAGAAAGTTGGCAAAACTCTCCTGGCAAGGAGGTGCTCTGGTCTGTGAGAGCTTTCCAGGACTTTTCCTGGCAGAGGAGGAGGCTGGTCAGTGATCTGGCCTGGCAAAGAATTGTTCTTGTAAAACAGAGGCAAAAATTTCACAGCATGGCAGTGTGCTCTGGTGTGGGTTGTTTAGTGGGAATCATTAGCAGGGGTGGCATTATCACCAGGCAGGAATTTGCAGAACAGTGCTGTTAAATAGGACAGCTGGAAAACCACAAAGCAGGTTAAGCAAATTAGTTTGATATTTATGTTTGGTGAGTCCAGGACAGGAGTGTGTGGTTTTTCACCAGCTCAGCTGCTCTGGGGCTGCACTTGCCTTCCCCTGCATGATGTGAATCAATATCAGGCTTTTGCAGTGCCTCTCATGCCTCCTCTTCCCTTCAGCAAATGTGAGTCTCCATCCTGAGCAGTCAGAGGTGAGCTGGAGACATTGGATTTCTGGGGATCTTCATTTGCTGACTTGTTTTCAAAGCACCTGTGGCTTGAATTTCAGGAACAACATCATGAAATAGAATCTCTAATTGGGTTCAGCAGCAAGAGTCTTAATAAATGACCTTTTAAATCTTATTTTGATTTTATTCAGGTGTGGTAGTGTCTCATTAATAGTGATCCTGCAGTAGGTCTCCCAATACATCCTATTTAATTAACAAAAAGGCTGTAAGATGTATTGGAGGTTTTTAAAATGAAAATGGGAGTTTTTAATAGAATCTCTGATTAAGAAATAATGTTCTGCATATGTGATGGTGCCTGGAAAAATATCACTTAACAGACACAGATAAAGTTCTGAGACAAGCAAAACTCACTTCCTCCCTCACCCCTTTCAGGCTAAAAGCCACTTGCCTGTGATGCTCTTACCTTAAGGGAGATATTTAATTTCCTCTTACAGGAAGGGGAGGCTGCTGAGGAAAGGTTTCATTTGTTGTGTATTTATTACATATCCAATTTTTTTGTTTAAAAGGCACCATATGTGAGGCAAAAGAAAGACCCTTACTTTGCTGATGGACAAAGGAAAAAGGACTGGCACAACAAAGAAGCCATAAGGAGGGACTCAGAGCGTGTAGGTATGTAAGATTGCTATAAAAATGTTTTAATACAGATTGCAACTTTGATTTTATTTGGTAGGCTGAGTGTAGAACAACATGTTCAATGTTAGGGTCAAGGTGATGTTCTTGACATGATGCAGCATTAAAGCCAGTTCATCTGTTAATCTTTTAACTGTGTTAATCCCAGTTAAATTCCTTTTTCCTCATCTCCACAGTAACTATTTTGAGGTGCAAATGCATCTCTTAAATCTTGGTGTTTTTATGACAGGTGGAAAACTGACTTTAAAAAACTTACCCCTCTCCCTCAAAAAAGTGTGCATGTACCTCTCCCAAAAATGGGAAATCCAGAATAAGAAAAACGTTCTGGACTATAACATTCATGCAAGTCCATTCCATAATTCTGGGGTTTGCCTTGCATTGCAAACAAGGCCCATTTTGAATGTCACAGCTTTACACTGATGTGTTTGCAAGGGCTCTGCCCCTCAGTGCAAGAGCACAAATCCATCTGTGCTGAGAATTCCAACAGTGCTGAGATATTCAAACCACGTGGATTCTTCCCACTGTGAAACAAAAGGCATTCTGGAGATCTTCCACAGCACTGCCAAAACCCCTTCATCTGTTTCTGGTGTTAGGAGGAAGATTTTTACCTTGGATTTGCACAGCTGAGTGGTTTGCAGCAAAACTGCTTATCAGATAAAATTGTTAAATTGACATGGTTGACCTGGTGCTAAATGACACAGAGCACAAAACTCATAAAGTAATGTTCAAAGGACTCTTAAGATGCTCTTTTTTCTGCTGTATGGATTGGTTTCTGGCCCGTTAAGCACTAATTAGCAGCAATGATCTGTATTTACTTTCTGTCTATCCACAGGAAATGGAGAACAGGGAAAACCTTACCCAATGACTGATGCAGAGCGAGTGGACCAGGCATACAGGGAAAATGGCTTTAATATCTTTGTGAGTGATAAAATTTCTCTGAATCGTTCCCTTCCAGACATCAGGCACCCAAAGTGAGTATACAGTTTGCATTTCTAGGAGTGAAGCTTTGCAAGCCCTAAATTACCACCTCTACAGGAATGTGTTCTTTTTTATTATGGACTCTTGTACCTTTGCTCATAAAATCCAATCTTTGCACAGCTGGATCCTGGTATTTCCTTAATAAAGGACAGCGTATAGTAATTTCAGTGGGAAATAGAAGAGATCAAATCTGGGAGAAAAGAATCTCTTTTTGATTTCAAAAGACTTAAAATTACCACAAACTTGCAACCCTGCTCATAAGAAATCTTTAATGTAACCCTGAGGTCCCACTTATGTTGGCCCCTAGCTGGAAATGACTGTGGAATGCTCAGGAGCAGAAAAAGATGTGAGTAGCTTCACTCAACTATGTATGAAGAGTTTTACCAGGTTTGTGGATTATTTTTGTGGACATCTTCCTCATAAAAGCAGCCTCATCAGGGTTTACAAGTAGAAACGAGTTCCAATTGAACACTGACTTTAGAGTTCATCTGGTTTTGGACATTATGCTGTAGGATGGTGCTGAACTGGATTTTGGGCAAGCCAGAAGTTTTTCTCTTGCAAAAGTGCATCAGTTAGGGTTTAGACCTTGTTTAGCTGAGAGGTTTTTAAATGCTTTTTGTGAGGTTCTTAATCTGAAAGCATTGTTAGACATTTGAATCTGAGATTCTTTTGTGTAAAGCTGTGTTTATCACAGTTTAATAAATCTGAATTCAACATCTACTTTATTCACAAGATACAAGTTCCAGAAGTCAGGTTTTATAATTTGTTAACTGCACAATTGAGATATTACCTCTTCAGCTGTCACAGCAAACTAATCAAATACACTGGCTTGACACTCTTTCTCAATATAAACACATAAAAAAGGTAGTGAGTGTAGCTCCATAAATGTTTTAGGCATGCAGCTGAAATGTTTAAACATAGAGATAAATCAGGTAACTGAAGATGTTTGTAGATCAGCCCATGTTCAAGTTCTAGGAAATACATTTTGAGTTCACTAATCTAAATTCTACCTGGCCTCCATTTACAGGGTCTGCCTTGGGCTCTGGGAACTTGAACATCAGATAATGCCAGTATTTTGTTATCTGAGGGTTAAATGTGTTACCTCACATGCTCCAGTGTTTCCTGAAATTCCCAACGCAGTGTTGCTAATTCTACTATTTAAACTTTTGTAAAATGTGAAACTTCTAACTCCAGCCCCAGATAAAATTAATAAGTGAAGTGAAGGGACACCAACAACTTAATCTGTGATTAATGGTGCTGCTGCAGTGATTTGCTTGTTGCTTGACAAATCCTTTCCCCCAGCACAGCCAGCTGTAATTGTGGGGGCCTCAAGGAGTGGATAAACAGCATGTGCCTAATGGTGCTGGGGTTGGCTGAGCTGGGTTACCCATGGTGGGGATGTGCAGAGAAGGAATTCACAACTGGAGGGATCTGCTGTGCATTCTCTGTGCCCATTAAAAAAGATAGGCATGAGATGGTATGGTTTGTGTTACTGGAGAGGTTGAGGAGGGCAGTTTAGAACAAAGTTAGGCTGAGACCTAGCCATGAAGTTACAAGTCCATAAAGAGGATTGCAGGAAGAGGGGAGCTGTGGTTTAGAGCTTCTTACATGCAGTGAGGAGCACGAGGAGAAGGTGTGCTGGGGAAAAATGCATCATCTGCCTTGCCCTGAGCTCTGGGGCCACAGCTGGGCTTCCACCCAACAGCTGCCCTGGCTGGGGAAGGGCAGAGAAGCAGCTGATGGTTTGTGTGGGCTTTAATCCACCAAACAGTGTGTCTGCTTTCTGTTAATTGTGGGACTCAGGGAGATGGGCACAGCATGTACTGGATCTGCCTGGTGCACACATACAATTGTTTGTTTCAACAGTCATGTCTTCCCCTGATAACAGTTCCTTTAGGCTCCTCTAGGGTTTTTAATATTAAATACTAATTTTGCAGGTCTTGTAAAGCAATTGTAGATACAGTAGCTGGAGGGAAGCAATTTCTCTCCGTGCTTAATGGTTAAACTTAATAGCTAAAGTTTTCCACTTGTTAAAGTTAGAAAATGAGGATTCCAGTGTAAGAAGAGTTAGAAACAATTCAAGGGCTCTTGGTTCATATTGGAACAGAGCTGTAGCTAGTAGCTGTTGGAAGAAGGTTAGAGTGGCAATGCCAAGGGCTGGATGAAAGCAATCCCTGCAGCTTCAGTTTGCATCTTGCATCTGTGCATTGCAGCCGCAGCCTGCAGGCTCTTGGCAGCACCCCAGCACAATTCATTGCACCCAGAATAAGTTACTGTCCTCTCACACAGGCTCCAGAGTAACTTCCTGTAGGCACAGATGCATTGAGCTTGTATAACATAGGTACATCCTTCTCTGTGCCCTGGGAAGGTACCAGGGAGAAGCTGCTGCTGCTGCCAGAGTGGCTCTCATTCCTGTCTGTCCTTCCAGGGGCCAGGGCAAGGAATTGCTGCCTGTGTGCCTGGGATGGTGCACAGTGACAGCCCCCAGGGCAGGGCACAGCCTGCACAGCAGCCTGGGGGCTGTGCAAGGGACAGGGGGCAGCGTGGCACCTCCCTGTGCTGCTCCTGGGCACAGGGCAGCTTGTCCTGCTGGCACTGTCACAGTACCACCTCCATTCACACAGCACACGCTGGTTGGTTCTGGACACAGGGGGCTCCAGGGATAGAACAGATTTTTGGCCCCTACTGAAGAGCTGCTGGGTGTTTTTTTAAGTACATTGGGTCACTGTGTGGCCTTAGAGGTTACCTGTTTAACCAGGTGTAAAGTCCACTTATGGCCACACCTGCAGGAAAGTAAACTCTGCACTTCATACAGCAGAATTTTATTAATGAAGCTACCTTGAAACGAACCCTACAAGGCAAGAGTTTGTTACCCCTATTTCAAAATCAAGAAAATTGATACACTCTGCATCATTCTGAGGAGTAAAGTCTACTGAATTTACTTTACTAAGTTGCTTACTGGTAATTAATATGGAAGTGCTGGTGTGTCTGGTGTGTTCTGGCAGCACCTTTTGATTTGCTCTGTGTGTGTCCAGCTGCAAGAACAAGCTGTGCCTGGAGAAGCTGCCAAACACCAGGGTGATAATCCCATTCCACAAGAGTTTGTTACCCCTTTTTCAAAATCAAGAGAATTAATGCACTCTGCATCATTTTGAGGAGTAAAGAAGTTCACTAAATTTATTTTACTAAGTTGCTTGCTGGTAATTAATATGGAAGCGCTGTTGTGTTTTGGGTGTTTTTTGGTGTGTCTGGTGCGTTCTGGCAGCACCTTTTGACTTGCTCTGTGTGTGTCCAGCTGCAAGAACAAGCTGTACCTGGAGAAGCTGCCCAACACCAGTGTGATAATCCCATTCCACAACGAGGGCTGGTCCTCCCTGCTGCGGACGGTGCACAGCGTCCTGAACCGCTCCCCGCCCGAGCTGGTGGCAGAGATCGTGCTGGTGGATGACTTCAGTGACAGAGGTAGGGTGGTTTTCTGTGACATTCCCACCAGCCTTCCCTACCTGAGGGATCAGTGCACTTGTAAATATGTGTGTAATGACCTGAGGGTTTTCACTTGCCAGCAGCAGAGCTCAGGGCAGTCTTGCTACCTTTGAAAGCAGAAAATTCGTGTTCCGTATTCAGGGTGTGCTGGTGTAGCTGCTGCTGGGATGGGCTGTCCTGTGTTCTGGGCAGTATCAAAAGCCAGAGAAGCTGGTTTTAATATTCAGCTAAGGGCCTGTGTAGCCCTTAATGTAAAATGTTAAATGTTGACTCTTGAAATAACAAAAAAAAAGCCAAGAGGTGGGAAGGGGGGAATAGCTCACTCCTTACATTCTACTTTTTTTTTTTCTTTCTTGATGCAGAACATGTAAAAGAATCCTTGATAAAAGGTTCCCATCTGGGACTGCCTATGATTTGGCTTGCCTTTCTCATGAATTTTGTGCTCCTGAAAAGTAAATGTGCAGCATCCAAACCTTTTCTCTCCCTTTCTGGGAACTTCCCTCGGTATTCTGTACTGCAGTGCCTGGAGCAGTCACTTTGGGTTGGGTTGAAGTGCTGTCTGCAGAGGTGTGGAGTCACTCACACATCACCACGAATGGAACAGCCACTTGTCATTGCAGCAGCAATGTGTGCATGTGGTTGCTGAGATCTTTTTCTCTGAGCCATTTAAATGGTGCCTGATGCAAATTAAGCTGCACTTTGCCTTGTGTTTTGCACTCCTGCTGTGGTGGAAAAGGCAAGTGAAGGAGGAATCAATGCCCCTGTCATGTAGACATTGCATAGGGGGAGAAATCCCATGGGAAGTGCTGTGACTGATGTTGAGGAGGGCACAGTGACTTTGAGGGGTTATGGTCAGATCTGGTAACTCTGTTTTCTCCTGTAAAGTTACTATTTAGCTTTATGAGCTGCAGAGAGTTCAAGCCACTGATCAAGTGAGGCAAAAGAGCTTTCTGTACAGATCCTAAAGGATACATCTCCAAAAACCTTACACCTAGGAAGCTCCTAAATGAGCTTGGAAACAAGCTTTTGAATATTTAGTGTTCTGACCTATACTGCTTTCCAAATAGGCACTACCCAACTGCTGTAGTACTTGATCTGAAGTTCTTCTCTCATTAGTTTGCAAGCAAGGCATGCTGCATTGAACAAATCAATGTTACATGAAATAAGTATTTCTTAAGAGAATTTTCAGGCTAAGGTGAGGAGAAGGAAAACCCACCTTCCTGACAAGGTCTTTTTATTGCTCCTCAGTCTAGAAGCAAATTAGACAAGCTCATGCTGTAGCCACGAGTGAATTGTACAAATGGGTTCTTTTCAGAGAAGTGGAAGTAATGAAATTTAGTTTCCTGTGGGTCTGTTTTCCTTGTTCTTTAGATGTGGCCTGAGCAGGTGAAAGAGAGCCCTCCTGGTTCCCCCCCTGCTCCTCAATCTGTACCTGTGCTGTTTGTCCAGCTCACTCTTCTCTGTCCCCCTGCCTCTGATAAGACAAAAACTCTTCTCCCTTGGTCATCCATCTTTCATACAAAGGTTGCAAGAAGTAGCTGGGATTCACTTGTGTGCAGCATCTATTTATAAATGGATATAAAAGACTCCAGGTGCTGGACAGGAGGCTAAATCAAGGGAAGAGAATAACACTCATGCAAAGAGAGTGTGTTAATAAAAACTGGTGTGGGGTTTCTCTTTGGGGTGGATTTTTCTTGTTTGTTTTTTTTTTTTTTAAACCAGTATTTTCCTGCTAGCAGAGTTGATTTCTGCACACTGGGACAATTGCTGGTTAGGTTAGAAACATCTTTCCTTCAGTGCTGTCAGTTTCTGCACTTTTCTTCCTTACCCACACTGGAGTTGGCTTGCACATCCCTCAGTGAGCTTAAACAGATCCTTAGGGCTCTTAAATCCTAATCACATGATCTTGACTTGAAAGGCTAAAGGTTACAAATTTCTGGTTTTAATTTATCCACTGTTTAACAAAAAAAAAAAAAAAAAAAAAAAAAAAAAAAAAAAACAACAAATTAAAAAGTCCCCAAAACCTAAACAACAAACACCTGAACCCAGTAACTGGGAATTGATAAATTGATAGTTTAATGCATCAAATGCACGAAGGAGCAGAAGTTCCAGGAAAACTTTTACTTGTATCTTATATGTTCGAAAAGAGCACATTTTTGGATTTGGACTGTTAGGCAACTGCTGTGGTTATCTGTTTCTTATGATTAAATTGGGCAGATAATAAGAACTCCATGTCCAAGCTCATGATCATCACAGCTGTGCCACAGAACTGGAGAGCAGTAAAAAGAATGAGAAGAAACTTCTTGATTTTTCTTTGCAAGTCATAAATGATTGGTCCTCTGCATTGTCTGCAAAGTATTCTGTATTGTCCTCAAGAATTCTGTGCTTCTGTTTGAAATAATGGCCCCCTAAATTTGTAGCAGCATCTTTTAAAGTTACAGAATCACTGTTGGATGTAGTGACAGTAGAGGCCATGGCTGAGATCAGAGGGGCACAGGAGGAACAGTAAATGTCATCTCCTTCCCTGAAGAGATCAGTAAATAGTCCCCATAAACTCCAGTGAAAAGCCAAGGATGGAAAGGATAATCACTCAATAAAAATCTGTTATTAATTTTTTTTTATGGAGATGTTACTCTGACAGGATAAAACATTGGATATCTCTGCTGTATCTCCTGCTGGCCTTTCACTCGAGGGTTGTCTAAACAGACCTCCAGAACTTTAATAACTCTTTAAAGAATATTCTTCAATAGCTTGACCTTCCCTGGCAAGGAGATTCTCTCTGTCTCTCTCTGTCTCTCTCCTGCCAGCATTTCTGGTGTGCTGACCTGTGCTGGGGTTCAATGTGCTGGGGTTTGCCAGCTGCTTTGGGTTCTGCTGTTTCACTGCTTTCTGGGAATGTTGGTGCTGATCCATCAGCCTCTTTCATCCCTTTGTCTCATACATGGAGATTCTTTGCTGCACATGAAGAAGAGAGGACTTTGGTAATAATGGAAATAGTAAGTGTGGAAACCTGGCTACTGTAAACAGTGTTTTTCCTGACAGATGTTATTTTCATATGTTTTTCATCTGGTTTTAAGCTTGAGTGTAAGGAATTTTTGGTGTGTCTATGAAGAGGGCTGAGAAGTTGGCTAACAGGAGAGTGAAGACAGATTTCTGGGTTGGTTGGTGGCTGCTGTGGTCTGCAGCAAACCTGAGGGGCAGCTGTGGCTGTGCATTATTGGAGCTCCTGGACAGATGAATCATCATCTGGAAGTGTCAGCAGCCATTTATTTCTTAATTTGTTTGAAAGAGACAACTCTGTGACCTTTAGCAATAAACATTTTTCATCCAAAAAATGCTGTCCCGATGACAGCAAATCTTAACAGGGAGCAGCAAAAGCTTTACAAGACATGTTTTTTAAATGTTTCCTTTGCTTTGTACTTGGAAAGTCAAAATGTGCTGGAACAACTTGCTGTCTGGAACGTTTTGGGGTTTTTTTTGTATGCCTGCAGTATAATGCAAGTGGTCCAAATCTAAAAAAAGGCGAGAGCTTTACCTCACCCAAATTCTCACCCAAATTCTGTGCAGGATCCTGTCAGGCAGAGTGCTGTGGGAAGGGCTGCCTGTCCATGGGTGTGGTGGCTCCATCCCCTTTGTCTCCAGCTGCAGTTACTGCCACCTCCAGCAGCTCCTTCTGACACTTAAATCTTCCTCTGTGGGGATTCCCTTGGTAGGTTGGGTTGATTTTAAAGGAGCTGCTGCTTTCCATCATGTGCCATTGGTCACAGAAGAGTGAACATTGCAGGGTTGTTTTTTTACTTTTTCTACTGCTAGTCTCTGTTGTCTGTGTAGCATTGCATTAAGAATGCTGTAATGCTTTTTTTTTTTCCCCACAAACTTGATTGAGAGTGATGTAAGAACTTTCTCCCCAGCTCAGAACACTTGTAGGGATTTTCTGTGCAGAAGAAAATAGTTGAATATATAGTATAATTGTATAATAAGTTGAATATAGAGTATAATAATTCAATATATTGAAGAGGGAGGCACCAATTCAGCAAAGTGTTGTTGGAGAATAAGAATTAACCTGGCCAGCACTGGCTGCTTCTTCCTGCATGGAACAGAGAACTGCTGGAGAGCCACAGGCTGACCTCCAGGGTTTGATGAACCTCAGCTCTTGCAGGGTGGTCCAAAATAATGCCTCCCCTTCTGGATAAGCAGAATCCTGAATGCAGCACATGTGTATTACCACTCTAGAATTCCTGATCATAAAAACTCCTAGCTGTGGCAGTCCTGTGTGGATTTGTGGCTTCACTTTTAATTTCTATAGCTATTCTTTCAGTCTGATAGGTTAAATTAAACCTTTTCATATGCTGGTTTGCAGGATACTAATTGCATCCCTCCAAGCCTGTTGTTACCAGAATGGCCCTAAGTAAACAAAAATGTTTTTTCCATGTATATCAGTTTTTTCCTGGGGACTGTCATGTGAAATTTGTTTGCTTTTTGAATATCTAATTACCATGCTGCTGAGTGGGAATTTGGTTGTATTCATAAAAATGGCAGGAGGAGAACTGAAGTGGAATTGCAGGTCAGTTTGTAACACTGCAGGTTTTTCTGTCAGCTCTGATGGCATTTTGTTATTGACAGCTGGGAACAAGTCACAGGCAGGCAGTTCATGGTTCTTGAGGGTCTGCTTCAGTCCCTGGGCCTGCAGCAGAATTGCTGTGGTGAGAAATGGAGCTCTTCAGCTCTGGTGTCTGTCTTGTACTAAATGAGTTGTTGGTCTCCCCTAATTCCAGAGCTCGTGGACACCTCTGCTGTAAGAGCTGTCTCAGTGTCTGCATTAACAGATGTACAGCTGTCCTTGCCTCAGTAATGAGTGGTCAGCCCTGAGCTGGGGGAGCAGGGGGGGATCCCTTTGCAGGATGTTTGTCAGAATGGGCTTTGCTTTTCACCTGGTGCATGTTTGGTGGCCCAGCACAGCAGTGGAGCATCAGACACTG